TCATCTACATACAGTATAGTCTTTCTTTTTATTGATTAGAAACAGTAATATCATATAAACCAGTTCTCCTCTCAAGCCAAAGTGCTGAGGTTTTCAGAGAAAAAGGCCATGGTCTGGCCTAACTTGCTGTACAGAAACCAGCTGTTGCTCCTGGTAGCTTGAGACAGGTCTGGGTGTCTTGGAGTACCTGTGAGAAAGGTGGAAATGGCAGAGCAGGGACTTTGAAAGCACAGAGAACATTAAACTGTGGAAAGGCAACTTTTCACATGGTGAGTTTCTGCCAAAATTTTATCTCCCAGTCAATAAAAGGACTTATCACATGGATGTTCCCCTGAAATCAACCTAAAGACGCCCAAGTGTATCAATGGGGGCTGGGCCAGGTCTTTCTTTACAATTTAAATAATTTGAGTATTACTTTGGCTGGTTAGAAAGGAGAGAGGCATCCTGCAATGGGACAAGAGGAGAAAAAAATATGCATATTGATGATGATGATGATGATAATAATAATAAACTTCATAGTTTTAAGACGTAGAAATGCATTGAATGTGAAATTGCAATTCTTGTAAAAATACACGGAGTTCAGCAGCTACCTGGGATTAAAGAAGGTGTGTGTGGGGGAATGAATCTCTTAGAAGTAGGATTAAGTTTTGCCTTGGGAAACAGCAGCTACAAGGTAACGGGATTTGAAAAAAAGAAACCTAAAGTTCTGTTAATACAGACAAGTGAGAATTTTTTTTCGAAAATTAGATTTTCAAAGAGACAACACAAACACAAAGTCTCTGGACTTCTGTTCCAGAGAGGGATTGGTACTAAACTGCTTGGTCTTCAGAAAATTTGGATTATGAATCTCAAACATAGTCCAACAGCTGTTTATTGTATGGAACCTTATAGCTTAGATCCTATTTCTATTTTAGCCAACATATTTTAATTCATATTTCCTTCTTCCTTCTGCCTCCAACCCTGCCTCTCCCTGCCCCTCTATTTAAAACAGTTATCAAAAAGTCATTTGGGAAATCCTGCCTTCAACCAAACGTTCCAGGACCTGGCAAGAGGGAAGAACTCCTCAGCCCAGCTCAGTAGGTGCCCAAGGAGGGGCTCGTTGGCCCATTGCCTGGGGGGCTCCTCAGGAGGCTGCCCCAAAGGCCACCAGCCCAGCAGCCCTGCCTTCCAGGACAAACCTCTGCAGGAGTATTTCAAGGAGAGGCTGGTGGAGCTGGGGAGCTGTGAGAGCAAGAGGAGCAGCAGGAGAGCAAAGGGCTTTGCAGAGAAGAACCAGAGCCCCTCGTCAGCCCTCCGGGGCTCCCGGTGCTGCGGCACCGCGCTGGGGATGGGCACGGGGGCAGAGGAGCCCTGCAGCCCAGCAAAACAGCACAGCAGGAGAGGGATGGAGTGCAAGGCTCCAAAGGAAACCCAGAACGTCCTAAAGCTCTACACTGGTGACTTCTTGGACCTTTTGACAATGCCCATCGCTGCTCCTCTAGAAGCGTTTGTGCAGAAGAAGTGATACTGGAGCCGCTTGCAGATTTTTGTGCAGTCCTGGAAGAGCTGTTCCTGTTCTGCACCACTCTGATTTTAGCTCAGTCCCCTCTGATGCAGAAAGATGCTTGTTTGGGGATTGTTCTTGATTAACATTGCATATATTTGTTTTCAATTATTTCCCGGAAAGAATCAGCATGATTGAGCCATAGGTGCAGCTTATAGCAAGCAGTGTTTTAAATACATGCATGTGTTACTAGAATACTTAAGTTGCCTTCAAAAACGTTGATTAGTGTCAGAGGAATAGCTTGTTTCCTGCTGTGCAGTTTGTGTTAATTAATCTGAGGAAGGTCTGTTGTATTCTGCCTCTTTATTTTGCTTGTTTTAAGCCCCTTGCTTTTATCATGTCACTGTGGCCCAACTAATTTATGTTCTTACTGTGGATTATTTGTGACACAGATGGAAATAGTTGATGAGAAATTACTGTTTTTCAGTCATTGCTATGTAATCACGAGGTGGATCACTGCAAGAATCTGATGCAGGAAGAAGCAAACACCGACATAAGATCTGCTTTTAAATATGATCAGCCATTATGGTTTTATTTGCAGACTCAAAACTCCTCGATTCAAAAACCACCACAAGGGCAAAGAGGAGAAAATGCTGGATTCAAGTTAGAATGATGGAATTAAGTATGAAAGAAGGCTCCTTCCCTCTTTCCTTCTATAAATACAAGAACCACATAGGGAATTCCTAATGTAATCTGAACTTCAAATTGTTTATTGTATTTTAATGTTTATCGTGGTCATGTAAGTATAAAATGTCAGCTGCAGCTGAATCTTTTTACTATGGGAAATGTCAATGTTTAATTCCACAGTGAATACCAGACCCAAAATGAAGCAATGATTTTAAGCTCCCAGAAAGATCTATTACTGCCTGTGGTATCATCAGCAATAAATTCTTCATTATAGTTGTGGTTTGAATTGATGTTTCTCCCTTTGCTTTCAGACTTGTTTTAATGTGAGTTAACAAGTAAACCATGGCCCTGGCTATACCAAACCCCTTCCAGTCTGACTCCTTCCCATCTCCTTTCCCTCCTTGTTCCTCTCTTTCTTCAGCCCTGGTGAAACTTGCCCCAGGGTGTGTCTTGTCCCTTCTGTCGGTCACATTTTCCTTCTCCCCAACACCTGCTTGCAGAAATATTTCTTCTGCATTGCCTCTTCAGCTCTTGGCCTGGTGTTTGTGTTTTTCAGACTTTGAAGATACGAGGAAAGGGGAGGGCAGATTAAGGAACTTCTCACATCCCTCTGCCACTTCCCTCAGGAAACAACCCAGAGTTTTCCCCCCAAAAAAGGGAAAGGAAACATGTAAGACTCATTCCACATCTTTTTCCCCATTCTGGGATCAAGATAATCTAAGGGAAGGAAGATAGGATGCTGAGAGCTCTCAGTCCTTTGTGTGTGGGAGAAAACACTAAATATTTAGACCAAATGAATTTTTCTGAAATCCCAGTTGCCTTCCTGCTGCAAATGGAGGGGGCAGCCAATGAGGTGAGATTTTTCCCTGCATGAAAATATTTTAATTTTTATTTTTTAAGATTTAAATGGAAGTCTGAAACACATAATATATTAGCAGATGCCATTGAAGGGATGCATCTGGTTTTCATTGTGAGTTTGCCAGAGGTTAGTTTCTCCTCTAGGAGTGGATGCACAATAATAACATGGTATTATGTGAGGGCATAATAATAACAGTGCATGAGGGGAAAGGAACAGTATTAATGGGACACAGGCAACCTTAATTCTTTCATTTCTTAAACATGTGGCTTTGCACACTTGAATGTGTCCTTTTGAAGTTTGGTTTTGCAAGTAATTTCCGATCCATACGCTTTTCAGAAAAGGGAAACTGCCTGCATTTTTGCTCCTGATATTTTAATGATTGTCACACTGCAATAACCCCAGATTAGCAGGTCTGGAGCATCCTGAGCCTCCCTGCAGACCTCTGCCATTTAAATTAACAGAGGTATTGGAGACTTGCACTGCTTCCTTAAGAAAAAAATTAACAGCAATAAACTGTAATTAAAAATAAACTAGAAAACCAGGTATTTTCTTCTCTGAAAGAGTGATGAGGCATTGGAATGGGTTGGCTAGGGAGGGTGGTGGAGTCCCTGGAAATGTTCCAGAATTTACTTAATGCTCTGGTTTAGTGGACAAGGTGGTGTTTGGTCAAACGTTTGATCTGATGATCTTGGAAGTCTTTTCCAGCCTTAATGATTCGATGGTTCTGTGATTTACCCAAGCATCTGTAAATGAGCTATTCAAGCTGCTCAGCCTCTGGGCAGCTCCTCTTCTCCACTCAAGACAATTCAGAGCATCAGTTTTTAACAGGCCATATTTAAATTTTATTTTTTACTTTTACTGAATACCAAATGTGAAACACAATTTCAAAACCCCAAAAAATAGACTCTGACTTGGCAGAAACTTGTAATGTTTCCTCCCCTAGAAGGACCCCATAGACCTGAAATTTCACAGTCAGGCCCATTTATGGTATTTTTCATCTGTAAAGCACCCTGAGGAATTAAAAAAGTTGATGTGCCTTTTAAATTGGATTTCCTTCAAACTAGCGTCATGACTTTCCTCTGAGAAGCTGCACATCTCATGTCAGAGATAGTGGAAAAGTCTAAGACTGAATCTCCCTGGAGGGAACATATCTAGATGTTGCTGCACCAAAAAGACATGAAGTTACAGAGAGAAAAAAAAAACAAACCAAAACAACAAAACACCAAGAGCTGTTAAGAGAATAAATAAAATTTCATCTCACAGCCCCTCAGATTGTTAAAACCTTGTGAAAAAATGGCTTGGGTTTGTTTGGAAAGTGATAATATGCATGACCTGAATTTATATAGTCTATTACCTTGGGTTTTACTGAGTTTAGCTGTTGGATGTAGCTGCTTCTTTCATGCAGATAATCTGTTTTCTCAATGCTCTTCCGTGAAACTTGATGCAGACACTGCTTGCCATTAGTAGTCTCATAAAAATATTCTTTATGCCTCCTTGAAAAGTTCTCCTTTCTCCTCTTAAAGGAAAGGCAGTGCATCATTTCTTTCCTGCTGGTGACTTGGCAGCCACCCTTTATCTCTGTTTTAGACATTCCTGTGTGGAAAACTGCACAGCACCTTTGGTTGGTTGTTGCTTTCCTCCTTGGATATATTCTCTCTGTCTTGCTGGAGTTTAGGCAAAGCAGGGCCT